AGCATGGGCACAAGATAACTTCCTTGTTAGAGTGGGAAGTCTTGTGAGTTGGATCTAGAAAGCAGTGAGGTTGCAGGTGGTCAGATTCTGAGGTAAGGTGAGAGGAAAAGATAGTAAATAGGTGTAGTGTGTGAGCAAATAGAGTTAATCACTCCAGTAATAGAATTCAGGAAACTGTGAAGTGGACTAAGATCTGGGAGATGTGTTGTGAAGTATTTACAGTTGTATAAAACAGCTATTATTTACAATAATATTAGAGCAACAATCATATGACAGACTCTATGTGATCTGGATATCATGAATAGGGGTATAGAACTTTGGGTAGTGTGCTAAATGAAAACAAGTGGCATGAAGTATAGAAAACTGGCAATGCACTGTAGAGGAGAGAACAGGGGAAACCTGTCAAATGATACAATATAACCAGCCAAGGCAAAGAAGCCTATACAGAAAGAGAAGGAATACAAAGATACTATTAAAATATAAAAGAAGTGAGAATAATAATAATAATAATAATAATAATAATAATGTGCAATAACTTGGGGCTTCTCTGCAATAGCAAAGTGAAATTTGTCTCACAGTTTGTACTGTTGGGAAGCCTCTTCTTTGGGTCCAGCTCTGGTCTTTTCACAGTTCCAAGTTGTTTGTGTCACTTGTGGGTAAAAGAAAAAAAAAGGCAGGATAAGGGAGGAAAAACCAATGAGTTTGGAAAGAAAGGAAGAAGGAATAAAACAGAAAAGAAGAAAAGAGAGGGAAAGAGTATTGCAAGATAAAACGATCATAAAATTAAAAAGATAAAAGATTATTTAGAAAAAAATCTCTTGTTGGTTTCAAACGGGTCAAACTGGTTTTTCTGGCTGCAGCAGGCTGAGAGGCTATTGGTGTGGTATTTCTGTGAGCACTCTCCCAAGAGCCAACCCAGAGCCTCTCCCCAGTGCCCCAGGAAGGGGATCTAGGTCTTCTTCATAGAACTCTTTTCTGGGGGTTATCACGGTGGGCTGGGTTGCGGGGTGCGCATGCATGTGCACACCAGCCAGGCTGCCTGAGTCTTGCATGTTCAGGCTCAGACCCATCCCAGTTCTGTGGGGGAGCTCCAGGCCCTCTGCCCAACCTCTGGTTTGCTGCCAGGCTGGGTGGGGAGCAGACCGAGCCGCTGTAGCAGAAGAATTCTTCAATTTACTTTCCAAAAACTTTCTCCTTTAGAAACCCGGCCTCTCAGAACAGCTTAATCCACCAGCCAGATGGGTAACTATCAGAGTCAGAGCCCCACACTGCGCCTCTCAATTCTCCTGGGCTGGCAACCACAGAGTCTGTGGTTGATCTCGGCCCTTTGTCCTTAGTAGCCTCTCTGAAAACTCTAGCAGACAAGTCTCTCCCTGTGCCCAACCTTGCTTGGCCAGGGAGGGAGGGAGCTGATGACCCAGCCCTCTCCCAAGGACCCTTCAGCAGGCCCAGGGCTCCCACAGAGTACTCAGGAGAAGCACCGGGAGCCGGACCTGAGTGCTGGGGGCCAGCCAAGGCAAGGGGCACTGGGCTCCAAGCTGGGCACCCACCTAGGCCACTGCTGCTCCTGTCTTTGCTCTGGTCCCTGAGAGTCTACTGTAGTGCAGCTGTCTCCTTACCATCTGGCTTTCCCATGACCATTACGATTTCTGGTCCCTTATTTTCATATATGCTGGGAAACTGTTGGCTGTTTGTGCTGTTCCTCCATACATTGGCCAGGATTTTCTCCCAGGTGTACGGGGATATGGAATATGCTCTGTCCTACTCCATCGCCATCCTGGAAGACCCCTATTTATTTATTAATTTATTAATTTTGTTTTGGGTTATTTGTTCAGTTGCACCTCTTCAGAAATGTCTTTCCTAACTGCCCTGGTGCAAGACTTTCACTTCTGTTCTTGGCCTTCTTCCTAATTTTTATTATTCCTTGATTATCTTTTTAATGTATTTGTTTATTTTTGGCCTTTTTTCACTAGACTGAGAGCTTCATGTGCTTAGTCATGAAATAAATTAATGAGTTTCAGTTTGGATATGTGATGTTTTCCATTCCTGTGGTACACCTAGGTAAAAAAAAAAAAAAAAAACTTGGGGCTGTTGAAAATATTGGAAGAGGATTCATGTAGAGAATTTATGTTTGGAATAGTTGGGTCTATGAGATTGATTAATCATGAGAAATGGACAGAAAATGAGGGAGAACATCTCCAAAGACATCAGTTCCAATGGCATGATAAGTTTATAGGATCATGCGATGGACACAAGTATGTTTGATTCTTAGCCTGAACTTAACATTTAAGTACATAATTTTTTATAGGAACATAGGCCTAAATATACTGGAGAACATTAAATAATTACATTTTCTTGTATTTTGATATGTATAGTTTTTTCTAACCTGGTATTTATTTTGCTTGTTTTTAAAGAAAAAAAAGCCTAAACATTTTTTAGTGAATGATTATTATAGATAATTGAAAATGCATCTACAAAAAGTTTATTTTAAAACAACATGAGCTTGCTTTTGCAAGAAAATTGTAAAAATGTCTCCTTTTAGTAAGGGTTTCTTCTATATCCCTTACCTAGGTGTTTTCATAACTTCCAACAGGAGGCCTGAGTATGTTTGGCTCTTAAAACAGTGCTAACACACAGGAATATTTGATGAATGGTTTGAAATTACTTAATATTACCATTTATCCTTTATTTCATTAGACATTGTTTTACTTATGGGACAATAATGATTTTGAGATCATTCAAATAAACCTCACAGACTTCTGGTCAAGTTGTTGGCACAGGCAGACATGGCTCCCCTCTTTGTACAAACACATCAAAATTACAAGTAAAGTATTGAACAACCACTACCATCACTCAGAACCATCAGAAATCAAGTTGAATGGAAGTCTGACAATTACGGAATTAAAGAAACCACTTTCATGCAGACTGGTAGGAGGGGTGCAGATGTGAAATGGGCTGGTCCCTCAATTACGTGTGGTGGGTAAAAATTCAGGAGGGATAGCTCACAATGAGGAGTTCTAGCCCCACACCAGGCCCCCCAGCCCAGTGTTCTAGGTGCCAGAAAGTAAGTCCCCACAACTTCTGGCTGCAAAAACCACCAGGGACTGAGCCAGTGCAAGAAACTTCCAGAGCCCTAAACGGTTTCTCTTAAAGAATCCACACACGGACTCAGCTACTCAGACTCACTTCCTCTGAGCTCCAGCACCAGGGTGGCAGATTGAAAGGCATGAATGGTGTAGAAGGAGAAGCTGAAGTGTCTGGCATCAAGGCGAGCACAGGCCATTGTCCCTTTTCTAAACCTTCCCCCCATAGAGCCAGCAAGCTGGTGCCCTACCCGAGACTCCATCAAGCTGGCTAACACTGTTTGACCCACCTTGGAGATCCCCAGAGACTCCACTCCACCCAATTTACTGGCCCACCCAAGCTTCTTGCTTTTTCTTATAAGTGGTGGGCCTTGGCTCAGGCTTCACAACTTCCTAAATCCTCTCAAAGAAGCAACAGCTGGCCTCAGTGAGCTCCAGGTGGGGCACTAGCACCAGCCAGCCTAGATTCACAGCTTGGCTTTGCCTGGGAATCTTTAAGCCCAGCACAAGTAGCAGCCATCTCAGGTTGCTTTATAGTTCAGGCCAAGAAAAAAGAGGGGGATGCTCACCTTGGCCTGCAACACCTGGGAAGCCCCAGGGCCAGTGCACCCAGTGGACAGTTGCACACCACGTCAAAATATCACTGCCATGCTGCTGTACAACTGATCTTCCACAGAGAGTGGAGGTTGCTGGTAAGTTGTCACAGCCAGTTCTTGCAGCTGACTGCCCTGAGTACATCCCTCCCGTTCATCTGCCAACAGCAAACAATGCTCAACCACAAGAGGAGAGTATATTCAGCCCACACAAAGGGTGAACCTCCAGCACCCAGCTTGGGTGAAAGGGGAGGCTGTGCCATTGGTCCCTACATGACACCTACTACATTAGGCCACACTAGCAAGTCACGGAGTTAAAAGCAGCTCTGCCTAATGCATAGAAACAAACACATGGAGGTTGAGAAGGTAAGGAGACAAAGAAACATGGCCCAAATAAAAGAACAGATCCAAACCTTAGAAAAAGAGCTAAACAAAATGGAGATAAGCATCTATCAGAGGCAGAGTTGATATTTATGGTTTTAGTTATAGTATTCTCATTTACTTGTTACCATTTGTTTTGTTTTGTTTTGTTTTGTTTTGTTTTGTTTTAAATATCATGAACACTTCAGCAGCTCTCTGGTCTGAGTCTCCTGCACTATGGTATGTATAAGAAATTTTAGAAATATTTTTACCAAAATATTAAAAGTCATTATGTCAGGGTATTGAATTCTGAGTGATTTTATTACAGTTTTTTATATATTTTTACTTTTGTTTGTACATCCTTCATGTGTATGATTGTCATGAAAGTGGCTGGGGACTTGAAGTTGAAAGAAGAAAATGACTTTAATGAGGGAATATAGGATTCCTTTTAGTAGGAAGTTAGTAGAAAAATTAGTCAGAAGGTAGTTGCTTCATTTACTTTTCACTGACTTTTTAGATGGTCTCATACTTTAGCATTGTTGAAATTGTATTTTTTCTTTATGATTTTTGTTTATTTCCAGGTATTGGTAAGTGACTAAAAAAATTGGATGAGTTTAAAATTTCTCACAGTATATATTTTTAAAGGTATAATTGATATTTTTATATTAGTTTAAAGTGTAACATATAGTGATTAGACATTTCTATGCCTAGTATGAGCTCACCACACTAAGTCTAGTCATTGTCTGTCCTTGTGCAAAGTAATCACACTATTATTGACTATATTTCTTTTCCTCTTCTTGCTCCTCCCTCCACTTCCTTTTCTCTCTGGCACCATAAGTGTGTTCTTTGTTGCTATGAATGTGTTCCTGTTTTGGTTTGTGTATTTGGAGTTTTAAAAATTTCCATGTATATGCGTCTGGGTGCAGGAGAAGATGGCGGTCTCCACAGGTCGGTTCCCAGGCCGGGCTAAATGATTTCCCACTTCGACCAGGCTCTGCCCCACTGTCTGCTGCTGGCAGCTGGGCGCTGACCATGAGTTAAAGTTCCTTGTAATTTTCGCTTGTTGGAAGAACTTGAAGAAGGACAAAAAGGAGTAGGCGATGGTACAGTTAGCTGGGGCCTTGAAGACGATGAAGACATGACACTTACAAGGTGGACAGGCATGATTATTGGGCCACCAAGGACAAATTATGAAAACAGAATATATAGCCTGAAAGTAGAATGTGGACCTAAATACCCAGAAGCTCCTCCATCAGTTAGATTTGTAACCAAAATTAATATGAATGGAATAAATAATTCCAGTGGAATGGTAGATGCACGGAGCATACCAGTATTAACAAAATGGCAAAATTCATATAGCATTAAAGTTGTACTTCAAGAACTAAGACGTCTAATGATGTCCAAAGAGAATATGAAGCTTCCACAGCCACCAGAAGGACAAACATACAACAATTAATTTTAGTGGATCTCAAACTTGTCTTAAATCAACAATCTTCTATTTGTGTTAATGTCTTGATTAAATATCACAATGCAAAATACCCACACATTAAGTAAAAGAATTCCATCTGGTAAACATGACCTGGACATTTGTAAGAATATATTTAATATATGTATATGCATTATGTTTTCAGGTAACAGAAGGAAAAATGCAGCACATTTGTTTTTATGGCACTGTCATGTAGACATAAACCTGCAGTACTCAAAATAGAATTCAGGTTTATAAAATGAAAGTATGGTGAAAAGTGTCAGATAGATGTGGTAGAAGCATGTGTGTTTCTAAAAATCTCAAGAAGGAAAAAGAAATGGCATGCTTTATCCATCTTGCTTAGTGAAAAGAGCTTCAGTTTAAATTATCTGAAGTAGCAGGTACAATGAATATTGTCAAAATTGTTTTAATTTTCAAAGTAGTGTGAATGCTGACTACCAGTAGTATCAAAAATATGTTAAGGATTGTTTTGATACCTGCATTTATAATAAAAAATGTCATGGGGAAGGTTGATGAATTTCTGTTAAAAGCTATTTCTGTACGTTACATGTAACATACATGACAAATATTTGTTTACAGTTTTTGACAGATATACATTTAAGTTTAAGTGAAATCAGCAAAAAGGAAATAAGTATGGATATGTGATTTTTCGTATTAAAGTTAGTCTTAAAATGTAAATAAAATGTGGATTGTGTCCTCAAAAAAAAAATTTCCATGTATAAGTGAATTCATACTATTTATTTTTTTCTGTCTAACCTATTTCACTGAGTGTAATATACCCTAGGGCCATCTTGGTTATTGCAAGTGGCAGGTTTTGATTTTTTTTTATTGCCTAACAATATTTCAGATGTGTGTTTGTGTATATTGTTTTTGTGTGTCATATCATCTTTATATGCATATATATATAATATACGTGTGTGTGTATATATATATATGTATATATATATATATTATATATATATATATATTATCATCACTTGTGGACACTTTCCCACTGGTTTCAGAGATACAGGAAGGGAAACATGGATGTGAAAGAAAAACACCAATAGGCTGCCTCTCGCATGTGCCCTGACCTGTAATAGGAGCTGTAACCCAGGTAGGTGCCCTGACCAGAGATTAAACCTTCAAACTTCAGGTTCAAAGGACGCATGATGCTCCAATGAACTGAGTCACACTGGTCAAGGCCATATACTTTTTTACTGATGGAAACCTACGTTGCTTTCATATTTCAGCAGTTGTAAATGATGCTACAATGAACCTAGGTGTTTTGTCTTCTTTAGACAAATTCCCAGAATAGAACCACTGAGTCATATGTTAGATCTACTTTTAGTTTTTGGAGAAGTCTCCATGTTTTCCATAGAAGCTGCACCATTTACAGTCCCATCACGGTGCATAAGAGTTCCCTTTTCTGTGCATCCTCACCAACACTTAGTATTTTTGACTTTTTGATAATAGCTATTCTGACTGGTGGAAGGTGGTATCTCATTGTGGTTTTGATTTGCATTTCCTTGATGATGAGTGATGTTGAGCATCTCTTCAAATGTCTGAAGACCATCTGAACATCCTCTCTGGAGAAATGTTTCTTGACATTCTCTGCCCACTTTTTAAATCAGATTGTTTCTTTTCTGTTCATAAGTTGGAGGAACAATTTATCTCTTATATTTTTCTTATGTGTTATCTTAAAATATCCAACCATCATAGTTTTTTATGTGTGTGTGATCTTTAATTTTTTTTGATTATTTAGAAAAGAGATTAAGGGTATTTCTATTGCAAGATATGATTTATAAAGAGATGGGTCTTATCTGGAGATTTTAGTTACCAATGTACAAGAAAAGAATAATTTCTCATTAAACAAATTAACTACAAATCATAGACTAAAAGGAGAGCATTTTGGTGAAACTAATTACTAATTTTTCACATTTTATTATTGAACTTTTCAAATGGATAAAGAAGTAAATAGAATATTATAATGACTTCCCAGGCATCCCACAACCAGCTCATGTATGAACAATTTATAGCCACTGTACTTGCATTTATAATTCTACTCACTCACCCTGTTTCCCTTATATTGGAAAGCCAACCCCAGACTCACTATACCATTTCATCTTTCCACCCAGGTATCTCTAAAGACAAAACTCTTATAAATCATTATAATACTTTCATCACAAACACGGTTAACAGTAATTGGTCAGTGTTAATATCCAATTAATTTTCTCAAAAGTGTACTAAATTTCTAAATAGCTTTTTTGAATCAGGATCCAAGTGAGGTTGCCACATTGTTGCTGGTAGGCACGTCTCCTAAGCGCCTTGTCTCTCCTAGGCTCCCCCTCCAGTTCTCCTCTGTGTGTTTGCTAAAGAAACCAGGTGGTTAAGCTTGCAGAGTTTCACAGGGACTGACTTTTGCAAGTTGTATGTTTCTGAGGTAGTTGAACTGTGTTTATATTTTCTGTGAAGTGATAGATGAGTCTGGATACCTGACTGAATTCTGGCGTTATTTTTTTTGTTGTAACAGGGCCACTTTAGAGGTGGTAATATGCTGTTCTATCAGGAGGCACATGATATCTGGTTATTTTCCTTTTTATCATGTTAACAGCTGATGATACTTAGTAATAAGTGGTGATACTCTATTCTGTCATTCTTTCATCACTTGTAGCTGAATATTTTTAAAGGGGGCTTTCTCATGTCATCTTTGGTCTCCCACAGTCTGTGCCCTTCAAGAAGACTATTCTTGGTTGTCTCCAAACTAATGTTTGAGATCAAGGGTATGCTGTTTAATAACAGGGAAGTCAGCTCAGTCCGCACTTAAAAACTCACCTAACATAGTGGCATTGGGTCTTACCAAGCTGAGAGATTCCCCTTCACAGAGCAACTGCATGTTTTATCCTGGTCATGTATTGAACAGCCCCTCCTGTGGGACACTGCACCCGCCTCAGGTCCACTAGACCTGAACAACCTCCACCTACCCTCCAGTGATTAAAACCCCACTCCCAGCTGGAGGGTGTGTGTCCTCACAGTGACCACACAGTGGCTCTGCTTGTCAGCTGCCATCTGCATTTCTAGGAAGGACACTGCTTGTTTTCTGGGCCCAAAGGAAAAAGGACCACACACTGCCAACTCAAACAGTCCAAATCCTCTCTCTGCTCTGGGGCCAGAAGTCCCAAGTTAAGGTGACAGCAGGCTGCCCTGTTCCCAGAGATTCCAGGGGGACCTTCCTCTCCTCTCTGGCTTCAGGTGTCCCTGGGCTTATGATTGTGTCACCTTAAACTCTTCCTCCATCTTCAAGGGCCACGCCACCCCCTTTTGACTTCCTCCCTGTGTCTCTTCTAACAGCACCTTCATTATCTAACATCAGATAATCTAGGATGACCTCGTGGCAAGGTCTCTAATAATATCTTCAGAGACCTATAGGAGACTGGTTTGTCTTGGCCTGACAAATGTGACTCAGCTCTGTATGGAAAACCTATAGAAGCAAAGTGGTAGGCAGGAGCCAGACCTTCAAACCGAGTTTTCCTGTGGGAATCAGGCCTAGAAAATGCATACAGATTGTTATAGATTGCTCTTGCTAAAACTCCATCACCCTGGTCTAAAACAACAAATGTGTTGTCTGTCTTCAAAGTAATTTCCAAAGCCTGTGTGAGTTCCCCCAAAGACAGAGCTAATGAGCTCATCTCCATTCCCCTTTGCATGTTATTTTCATTTTCTTGATTGTACCTAAAATGTAGACAATAATATTCTATGTAATAGACAATAAATCTTTCTATGATGTGAGACCCCAGGAAAACAATAAAAGCCTGTCTAGGGAAGGGTTGGGGTGCTCCCCTCTTGAGGGAGTGGCTGAGACACCCAAAGGCACCCCTTAAGAGAGTAATCATGCCTGTTCCCTTTTCACACCCAGGATTGTTGTCACCTGTGCACTGATTCTCGTCTTCAGCCACAACAGTTGAACTGTGCTGGACAGGGTCTGCAACAGAGACCCATCTCTACATGAAGACACGTTCTGAGGTGCTCATGGACTGTCACTCAGCACAGTTGCTCCCCTGGCTTCCTGGGGTGGTCATTTCAGCCCAGCAGCCCTGCGGATCCACCAGGAGACACCTTCAAGTCCCTGGATGCCTTCTCTGGCTTCCCGAGCAGGTTTTGTGCCATCCACTTGGGAGCCTTGCACCAAGAACAGCCCAGCAAGAAATGGCTCCGCTGGCAGCCACAAGAGAAGAGTTCCTTGCCAGCCCTCCAGTGAAACAGCCAAAGGTTTAAAATTTACCAATATGCTTAAGGAAATTTTAAGCATATTGACATTAAAATTGCTATTATAGTAAGTCCTTTACAACTTCCTAAAAAATGCTGGAACATTACCTTAAAAGTCACTTACACTCATGAACTTACCAACATTACTAGTAAACAAAAGCAAGAACATTGTACCAAGCCCATTTTGAATTCATTTTCTTCTTTCAGTAACACAGAGGTTAGAACACCTTGAATGAATTTTAAAATATGGCTCCTGAACTGAGTAAATTCACCATTCTTTTATTTGAAATGCCTATTGGACCAGTCTACTCCCAAGCTCCATGTCAACAGGCATCGTGGTCACAGGGGCTCTGGAGGAATGTCTGCTTCTCCCTCATTGGGAAGCAGCTGAGCTCCCCTCTGGGGACCAAGGGACAAGTTGATCCTGGTTCAACCCTGAGAGCTGCTGACACTCACTTGGTCCAGCACAGAATCACCTCCTGTTTAGGTTCAGGAAGTGGGTTTGGCAGGAGGGAGCCCTCACCCTGGACAGACTGCCCCTCACTGAGCCCCTTCATAAGGATGGTGGTGGGGATGGCACACTCTGGGCCTCCTGCCTTCTGGGAGGGTGCCATGGGACTCCTGGGATGGCACATTTTAGCTGCTGCCATGCAGTGAGTTCAGGAGTGGGTTTTCCATGGCTGACTCTGCAGCCATGATCAGAATCTTGGAGAGGGCCTTCTGGGTGGGCATTCAGCCAACACTGACATCTGGGCTTCTGTAGGACAAAGGAACCCTCCCTGAGTGTCCAGGAAGGAGGGTGCAGAGGGGCCCCCTGAGCCCTTGGCACAATGGCACAGAGCTGGCCTTATTGACAATGGGGACCAGTCAGGGGTCTTGGGACACCTTGCCAGGAGGTGGGGCCAGCCTCTGGGGGGAACCCCCATTCCCCCTTGAGCTGCAAAATATCTTACCTGAAGCCAAGCCTTAGTTTTCATCAACACCTCCATACAAAGTGCTTCAGCTGTGTCTGATGTCCAAATCCAAGTGCACTTAATGGTGCCAAGTACTTTCTAATCACTCTGCTAAGAGTTGCTGGCTTTGGAGCTCTCCCCTGCCTTCCACAGGGAGGGAAGCCAGGGAGCCCTGTGATCCCACAAGGGCTCTGCCCTAAGCCAGTGCTGAGAGGAGGTCACAGATGGGGCTGGGTGTCCTCAGACTATTAGTGACTGTGGATTCGTGGTGAAGGGCCAGGGTCTGACCTGCCTGGGTCAGGGTTCTCCTCCATGGAATCAAGCAAGGACTTCAAATGCATCCTTCTGTGTCTCTGCTGCCAGAGTGAAGTTGGGTCCCATTGCCTGAAGGGGACAGGAAGTCACTCTGGAAAGGAGCCCTCAGGAGGTCTGGGAGGTCCACCCCACCCCCTAGTCAGAGGGAAATTTGGCTTCCCTCACTCTGTGGGTCTCTGT